GGGGCGGGGAGACACAGTCTGGGCTGGGAGCCAGCTTCAGACTCCAGAAGCAGGTCCTGCCAACACCCGGTGGCCTCTCTTTGTTTGGCTTAAGTGCTGGGCGCCTGCTCACTTCATCTGCGGAGTGCCCAGGAGGTGGGTGGATGGGGAGGACTTTTCCTGTGGGTGGGGCGGAGGAGAGATGGTTGATGGCTGGTACCCTGAGTTCCAGCCCCTGGCTCCTCCTGCCTGTGCCAACCACTGAGCCAGACTGAGTAAGGATGAAAGGGGCCAGCAGGCCCCCAGGGGCTCCCTCTGATCCCCCTGCCCTGGTAGGAGCTGGGCTGGAGGGAGGGAGCTGGGATGTCAGTCGCCTGGGAGATGAAGAGCCCACAGAGCTCCCAGCCCACGCCCCATGGAGCACAGTCAGGGCTCCAGGAATGGGTGGGCTGTCAGGGACTTGGGGACCAGAGGGCTGAGTTCACCACACACTGAAACCCCCAAACCTGGAGCTTCTGCACTAAACACCGGGAGTACCTGTTCCAGGAAGCTCCTCCCGTTCCCTGAGGACTCGGCCTCCATTTTGGTATAACCATCCTCCACCTGTTGCAGATCGCTGCCTTCTCCAGGGAGCCTTCCCCGACACCTCTCTCTGTACCTCTGGCACAGCAAGGGTTTGTGTTCTCTGTCTCCTCAGCCACAGAGACAATGCCCCGAGAGGCCAGGGCGTCTGCCACCGCTCACATCACATTTGTACAATCGGATTAGCCTGGCACGTTCATGTTCAGCTGACACTGGCCTCGGGCCTCCCAGTACAGGATTTCTAGGCAGCCGAGAGGCCAGGCTGGTTTGGAACATTTGATGGAGATTGTGGGTCCTCCACTCCCAGCACCCCAAGGACCCCCCATGCCGGTCAGCATTGCACCTCAGTTCACAGCTCCGTGGACGCCGCCTCTGACTTAGGATTCCAGAGCCATGGACACCCCTATCTGATCACCCAGTAGGGAGCATGAGCAACGTGTGGGCCCCCCCCCTGGAGGCGCTCTGCTCACCTCTGTACCGGGGAGTCTCCTACACCATTGGGAGAAGCACGCCCACCCGCAACACCCTGTCCAAGGACCCTGGGCTGCGTGGGGAATCGCACAAGCAGCCGGCACGTTCCACGCTGGGGAGCGCCTGCAGCCCGCTCCCAAGCTGAGCCTGAGAGCAGCCTCGGCTTGGGGCTGGCTTTCAGGCAGCGAGATGGAGGTATCTGGGAAATCAGGGCCCGTGCTGCTTCTTGGCCACACTGTGACTTTATTCATTAGTTGCCCATTTTATTGGGTGTTTTTGGCAGAAAAATGTATGAGCCCAGAAATCCCAGTGCTCTCACGGCAGTGTCCAGTCCTTGTTGAGGAAGTCTGCTGACCAGGAAACTCTTGGGGTTTCCTAGGACACACCCACCAGACTCCTGGATTCTCAGCTCTGGACAGCAGAGGATGCTGGTCCCTGCTGCTAAGGTGTTTCTCTGGGGTTGCTGCCAGCTAGGCCTTGTGGGCTGGGCAGAGTGGGAGGCCTTGCACAAGCCCCCCTCCATACCATGAGATTTCCACAGGAGCACAGAGGCCATTCCCTCAAAGACAGCCCGAGCCTTGGAGATGAACCCTCAAAATGTTCTGGCCTGGTGGAAAGGCCTGAGGAGGGAGCTGGGTCCATGTGGTCTGTGGCAGAGACAAGTGAGACCAAGTAAGTCTCAGGAAGGTTCTAGAACCTTCTGGAAAGAGTTCCGGAGACCTCATCCTCCCTGTGGGTACCTCTCGCCCCTCTGTGAATGGACACCATGCCCCCTGTCCCTCTTGCCAGGAGGAGGGCTCTCCCCATGAAATCCACACCAAGTGGAACTTTCGCAATTTCCCGAGAAAAACTCTCACTGGCTAACATGTCCTGCGCCAGCTGCACACATCGGAAAGTCTCCTGCCACCCCTCGTGGACGTGTGTCTGGCCCCCAGGACGCGGCAGGCGCACGCTCCTCCCCACCGCTGGCCAGTCCCCCCCACCTCTCTGCTTTCTTTGGACACTCGTCTCCTCTCTCATCCCCAGCCTGCTTGGTTTAATTATTTTCCTGCCCAGAAATGTGAGGCCCCCCACCCACCGTCTCCCAATCTAACATGGGCCCGTCCTTCCAGACTGGGGTGTAGGGCTGCTGGGCGGAGGGAGGGGGGAATCGGTGGCCAGGGGTGGTGGGTGGCCAGGGGTGGTGGGCGGAGATGAGTGAGGCGGAGATGAGTGAGGCACGTGGGGTGGGGGCTGCCGAGCTCCATTTAAGCTTCTTTTTTTTAAAGACTTATTTGTGCATACAGAGCTGGGGTACAGGCCAGGGGCGGTGAGAGGCTTCACCAGAGACAGAGTGGGGAGCAGAACAGGCAGATCGAAGAAGTACACTGCTGAGGGGAGCAGTGGGCGGTCAGGAGAGGTCTGCCTCGCCATGTGGTCACCTCAGGGGCAGGCAGGGATCGAGCTCATGCAGAAGTGGCTTTAGCTTCTCAGTGCTGTGCTTTAACCCGCTGGGCCACCAGGGAGGGCCCATTTAAGCTTCTTAATAACAGGTGGCAGTTTTTGAGGGGAAGCTCTGAACAGAGTGGGACCCCAAGGCAGTGCTGGGGTCTGAGGCAGCCCTGGGACTGGAGCCAGGGCAGGCTGGGAAGGCGGAGGGAGGGAGGAGGCATGAAAGAGGAGGAGGGAGGGAGGGAGGGAAGAGGAAGGGAGGGAGGGAGGAGGGAGAGGGGGAGAGAAGAGCGGGAGACACAGCAGGGAGAGGCCAGGGCCACACCACACACAT